ATTTTATTTTTTTTAATTTAACACATAAAGAAAAAAAAGAGTCTCAATAAACTCAAAAACAAAAAATAATAAGAAACAAAAAAAAAAGCAATATTAATAAGCGCCTCCCCCAGACTTAAACGACACTGTCCCCAGTGGCATTCAAATCCAAAAGGAGCGAGAAAAATAAATCAAAAATAAAAGAAAAGAGAAGAAAAAGAAATTCAAACCAATGGGTTGCCTCCCACTAAGCGCTTGTTTTGAGTCTATAGCTTGACTTGACGGAGTTCAAGATGTGAACAGAGTGGTGGAAGACTTCTGCTGCAACCTTGCCTTCCAAGGCGGTGTGTAAACGGTTCCAGGCTGTGTAGCTGCAGGTGTCGATCGACACTGTTGGTTGTGTCGATCGACACTCTCTTCGTTACCTGCAAGATCAACAGAAGAAACAAGCTTTTGAGGGACTCGAGGCTCGTTTAGTGGTGAAGCACACTTTGAAGATTCGAAAGAAGTAATCAAAGGTATAACAGGAGAAGAGATAGAAGAGAACTTCTCGCAAAGGTCTGAAATGGGCGTGGGATGAAGAGGGTTTGCAGAATCCTCTGTTTGTGAAACCCGAGGGTGTTGATCGGCAAGAGGATGTGTGTCGATCCACACTGATGCTTTAAAGCTCTCGTTGGCGAGCTGCGCTGAATGTAGCGTTGTGGTTGGCTCTGTTTGGGGATTCTGAACATTCTCAGGGGTTGTGTTTGTGCTGGAGGCCATACTACTGATAGGCTTAGTGAACTCTGAACCATTCATGCCAAACTCCATCTCCAAATCACATATTTTGAGAGATATATCTCTCTTCACATCAATCCTAGCACCAGCTGTAGCAAGGAAAGCTCTTCCACCGATAAGAAGATCCTTGGACTCCTTATCATAATCCGAGACCACAAAGTCAGCAGGGATTAAACAGTTACCAACCTTAACAGGAACATCCTTAAGGATTCCTTCAGGGATTCATTTGGAACGATCCCCGAAGAGGAGAGTGATTCTAGTCAGCATGTAGTTAGTCATGCCTAATATCTCAGCAACAGACCTCGACATGACGTTTATACTAGATCCCACATCACAGAAGGAGTTGTTGAACCTGCTCGTGGAGATAGAGCAATCATGAACGAAGCTACCTGGATCTGGGAGCTTCTCAATGGTCTGATCGGGAGTGATAGTACGGATGTTCTCTGCATTGTCCACTCTCTGTGCCTTCTTTTTCTTGATCTGAGGCAAAATTATCGAACAGATGTCTCTTATCAGCAGTTTAGTTTCCTTAGAGCTAATTTCATTGTCAACAAGGCGCTTGACATACCTGTTGAGTGGAGCAGAGGATGTCTCAGGAGTATCCTTAGGAAGTGAGGTGAGGATCTTTTCCATGGTAGATGTGCACTTAGCAACATGAATCTCCTTCTTAGAGCGACGCTTCTGCAGATAAGGAACATGAGGAGTGTAGACAGACTCGGGCTGCATCAGGATTCTCACCTCATATGGTGCAATCCGAATCAAGTGTCGATCGACACCAGGTGTGTGTCGGTTGAGACCATTGTAAGGGATTGTCTCTGAAAACAGTATTCCATAGGGTATCGACCAACACTGGTAGGTGTCGATCGACACCAGCTCTAGTGCTGCGAGCTCCAACTCATCTTCAGTATCCAACTCTTTTGACACATCGTCTCCTTCTCTGACCAAGATGGCATTATAGCTCCTCATAGGGTTAACATCAAGGGTTCCAAGAAGAAAGCCTTCTTCTCGCTTAACGGATTGTACGGTTTGAGCTACCTATACATCTAGCTTCTTCATGTGAGAGCTCAGATTGTCGATCTTCCCATTAATATCTGTTTCGATAGCATCAAACTTGCCATTAAACTCAACAAGAAGCTTGGTCTGGCTTTCAAGAATCCGCTCAAGCATAGATTCCATTCTACTCTCTAATGAGGTTGGAGGGGGGGGGGGGGGGCTTGGTAAGCTGAATTACCATATGTTCTCTGAAAATTGCTCTGAGGGAAAGTCTTTTGGAATGCTGGCTTAGGAGTGTAGCTTGAAGAACTCTGATTCCCTGTAAACCGTTTGCCATTGAAGTTACCTTGTGGCTGCCCAAACTTTCTGTAGCCTTGTCCATCTATATAGAAGACTCCTTCCTTTTACTCAAGTTCAGACTCGGTGTAATACCCTTGACTATGACTAGGAATCCGTCGGACGGTCGCGAACGTAGATCGTAACTTAGGAAATTTTTCGATAAGAAAATTTAGACGGAGTTGTGGGTAAATCAAACATTACCCAAATGATCATTGATCAAAGATTGGTTACATAAGGAGTTCAAGATCAATTTAGAAGTGAGTAGAGATTTTATCGGCTAATGTTACATATCAAAAAGACTAGGATCAGCTATTATCGGCAAAGGCAGTTAAGGCTATCGAGGAATTTATTAGGACTATCAAGATTATGATTAAAGGATTTCTTATGGGCAATTTGGTTGTTGGAAAGATCAATTTTGCCGAGGAAAAATAAAGGAAGTGCGGAAGACTAGTTTTTATCGGAGAAAACTAGTTTTATCGAGGAATAGTAAATTCAGGCCGAGACAAGCAAGCGGTGATCGAATGGGATTGGATGCGGACATAACAAGGTTTAGTGGAGTACTTAAATGACTTAGTCATATATTTTTAGAAGAATAGGTAATGATCATTGTCCGCGTACAATGGTCGGAGAGTTCTCGGTACGGGTGTGTACCGTGAGCGACATAACGAATGGTCGTTAAGGCCATGTCGTTGAGGTGCTTGTGGCATAGGCAGCTGTTCCATGAGCTTGGCGTGTGTTGTTTATGATCATCCACACGTTTTAGATTAGAATGGGCGTTTAGATAAGGATAAGAACAATATTGGATAATGATAAGCTTGAAAGTGCATAAGATAAGGATAAGCCTTATCCTTTGAGTGACTTGCACACCAAGTAACTTGCTTAAAAAGTTTCCCAGCCTATATAAACCCCCTAGATCGATTCATTAGTTCTTCACACCAAAACAATTAGCTTAAACCGTTAGATAGGTAGTTAGTCCGTCGGAGTCCGAGTCGGGTAGAAGTTGGTCGAGTCGGGAGTCGTAGTTGGGTAATAAGGTAAGTAGTTCCGCCCTTAGTCTTTTATTCTTTTTAGAATATTTTTCTTAATTTTGTTTTCGGTCCGACGCTTAGATCCATCGTTAGTACGTGTTGGCGATAGCTCGGTCGGATCAAAATTATTAGCCGGTCAAGAGTAGAATTTTTATCTCTCAACAATTAGGCCAAGGTGAGTACAGTAGCGTGTGTAGTAGCACACGACTAGGTTTTATTTTGGGGTTATGATTCTTAGGCATGAGGTTGCATTTTTATACTTTATTTTTACACAATTAGGCCAAGGTAAGTACAGTAGCGTGTGTAGTAGTATAATGTTGCATTTATTGTTGATAGTCGGATCTACGTTTTTACGTAAGATCGTCTTGGTTGTTTGATAAGATCTTGCATTCATGCTTGATTTAGTTTAGGATGAAATATTTATGTGCTTATGCTAGACATTAGTTTAGCCATTATGTTGCTTGATTGTTTGTTAGCGCTAGGATTTAGTATCGTATTTATTTGCATTAATTGTTGTTTGTTTGTTTGTTTGTTCGTAATTTTTATTACGAATTAAATTGTTAGCAAGCATATTAGGTGTTTGATTATTGACTGATTGATTGTTGTTGGTTAATCTTGCTTCGGCTTGATTATCCTTTGCGTGTTAGTTGCTTGCTAGTAGGTTTTATTACGAGTAGTATTAGGTTACATTAGGTTTGTAATAAGTAATGTGGTTAGTCATTTTTATGACTAAGGTGTGACGATGTCGTGATTGTCCCAATAGCTCGGAATGGTTTGCTACCACCCGGGACTACCCGACGGAGTAGTAAAAGTTTTACCATAAGGGAGTTGGTCCCTTGTAGACGGTTTGGATTGGGGAAGGGATGTGATCGTTTTAGACTTTGTGTATAGCGGTCGGAGACATTGCCTTGTGGGAAATCAACATCTTATAGTATAGAGCCCGTAGGATGAAGAGTCGTTAGCATGCTAGTTTTAGATTAAGTAGTTTCCGCTGCATACACTCTATAAAGAGTATTCATTGCTTGTTTGTTTGTGTTGTGTGATTTTTTGTCGAGTATACTCAATTGAGTATACTCGTATTGATTGTTTGATTGGGGACTGGGATTGGGATTTTTGTTATTTGTTAGAAACCCGGGCTCACTGAGTAATCTTAGATTACTCAAGTAACTACTTTTTGTCTTACAAGTAACCTTAGTTGGGGAGACCTAAAGGGGACCACGGACCTTGGGGAACCGGTGTAGAGTTTGTTGTCTTAGTAAAATTAGATTTATAAATTTACTCGATTTGGGCATTAGCCTCGGGATCCCAATCTATTGTAAGTGTTTTCATGTTTTATTGAATAAAGGAGATTTTCTTTAAAAATCCTTGTGTACTTCTGATATTAGTCTTGTCCGGACTAACACAACTTACGGACATGGTACGGGTTGAAAAGCCTTAGGCCGTGTTCGTGAGGAACGATGTTCAAGGATGGCCTGACCTTGGTACCAGATGTGTTCTGGGAACTCGGTCGGATCGTCTACGGGCATCTAAAGTAACGCTTCCGGATTGGTTCTTAGTCCTAGAACCGTTCGGGGGTGCTACTCAGGCTCAATGGTCTCTACTTCAGCTGCAAAGTGGACATGGTTATTCTTTGTAAGCAAGTTAATAACGGAATCAAACTTAGCATGTACCTATGCCATATGATTTCCTGAAACAGCTCTAGCAATCTTCTTCCTCTCAAAGTCAGCATTCTTGGTATTGTTGCTGCAGGCAAGGTTCTATATCAAAACGATAGCATCAGCTGAATAGCGTGTGTTGAAGTTACCATTGCTCGTTGCGTCGAGAGCCATCTGGTATCTCCAATCATCTCCTCTGAAAAAGGTACTAAGAAGTTGTACCTCACTGAAGCCGTGATGCGGGCAATCCCATTGATACTCCTTGAATCTAACCCAGGCTGCCTTGAAAGCTTCTATTGGACCTTGGGTGAAGGTAGACAGCTTGTTTCTCAGCTCCTCAAACTTAGCATCATCATAGAAATTGTTCAAGAAGGCTATCTTGATGCTTCTCCAAGTCTTAAGGGAACCTGCTTTCAATTGTTTCATCCACGAAGCAGCTTCCCAGCAAGAGAATAAGGGAAGAGCTTACACAGTAGATAGTCCTATGAAACTCCATTAGCTTTGATGCTCAGTGCGAGGTCCTCAAAACGCTCGATATGGTCCATTGGCTGCTCATGAGACAAGCCATGGAAAGGATGCTGGCCAACTAAAGCAAAATAGCCAAGCTTCAGCTCATAGTCGTTCCTCTAGAAGGGTGGGGGTACGATTGCTGATCAATTAGTACAGAAACAGGTCCAGCCTGTTGAAATCCCCAAGAGTATGACGTGGTTCCGCAGATGGAGGAATAGCTGCAGGAATCTGTGGTTGGTGTCGATCGACACCAAGCCCTGTTGCGTCTCTGGCAGCTAATTGCGCATTGTAGGCCAAGGTGAGTACCATAGCGTGTGTAGTAGCACAGGACTAGGTTTTATTTTGGGGTTATGATTCTTAGGCATGAGTTGCATTTTTATACTTAGTATAATGTTGCATTTATTGTTGATAGTCGAATCTACGTTTTTACGTAAGATCGTCTTGGTTGTTTGATTAGATCTTGCATTCATGCTTTATTTAGTTTAGGATGAAATATTTGTGTGCTTAGGCTAGACATTCGATTAGCCATTATGTTGCTTGATTGTTTAATAGCGCTAGAATTTAGTATCGTATTTATTTGCGGTAATTGTTGTTTGGTTGTTTGTTTGTTTGTTCGTAATTTTTATTACGAGTTAAATTGTTAGCAAGCATATTAGGTTGTTTGATTATTGACTGATTGATTGTTGTTGGTTAATCTTGCTTCGGCTTGATTATCCTTTGCGTGTTAGTTGTATGCTAGTAGGTTTTATTACGAGTAGTATTAGGTTACATTAGGCTTGTAGTAAGTAATGTGGTTAGTCAGTTTTATGACTAAGGTGTGACGATGTCGTGATTGTCCCAATAGCTCGGAATGGTTCGCTACCACTCGGGACTACCCGACAGGGTAGTAAAAGTTTTACCGTAAGGGAGTTGGTCCCTTGTAGACAGTTTGGATTGGGGGAAGGGATGTGATCGTTTTAGACTTTGTGTCTAGCGGTCGGAGACATTGCCTTGTGGGAAATCAGCATCGTATAGTATAGGGCCCGTGGATGAAGAGTCGTTTGCATGTTAGTTTTAGATTAAGTAGTTTCCGTTGCATATACTCTATAAAGAGTATTCATTGCTTGTTTGTTTGTGTTGTGTGATTTCTTGTCGAGTATACTCAATTGAGTATAGTCGTATTGATTGTTTGATTGGGGATTGGGATTGGGATTTTTGTTATTTGTTAGAAACCCGGGCTCACTGAGTAATCTTAGATTACTCAAGATTCTACATTTTGTCTTACAGGTAACCTTAGTTGGGGAGACCTAAAGGGGAGCACGGACGTTGGGAAACCGGTATAGAGTTTGTTGTCTTTGTAAAATTAGATTTGTAAATTGACTCGATTTGAGCATTAGGCTCGGGATCCCAATCCATTGTAAGTGTTTTCATGTTTTATTGAATAAAGGAGATTTTCTTTAAAAATCTTTGTGTACTTCTGATATTAGCCTTGTCCGGACTAACACAACTTACGGACATGGTATGGGTTGAAAACCCTTAGGCTGTGTTCGTGAGGAACGAGGTTCGAGGATGGCCTGACCTTGGTACCAGATGTGTTCTGGGAATTCGGTCGGATCGTCTACGTGCATCAAAAGTAACGCTTCTGGATTCGTTCTTAGTCCTAGAACGGTTCGGGGGTGTTACAAGAGTGGTATCAGAGCATGGTTTTGTTCATGCTTAAGGGACACAAGTTTTCAAACGTTTTATCGAGTCAAAATGAGTCGCAAAGACAACTTTAGGAAACCGGTGCATCCATGTGCTATCGCTAGAGGGATTAGGTAGAAGGATTAGGTTTTACCTTTTGGATGTTAGTGCAGATTTAGACTTAATGGATGAAAGGAGGACGGATGTGGTGACCACTACAAGGCTAAGAATCAATGGGAGAGAACTCATAAGGAGATGATATTGGAGTTAATAGATGGAAGCAAACAAACATGGTTATGCAGAGATGGATCTTGCTAAAGTATTCAAGGAGGTGTTCTATACTAGTTGAAGAAGCTCGTTCAAGAAATGGTGTGTGCTCAAACAACCGATGAAGAGGATATCTCAAGAAGCAAAATTGATGAAGTCATTGATCCATGAAGCATTGTGGAAAAGTAATCAAGGAGGCTTTGAGAAGACATATCCCAAAGAAGGTACCATGAAGTTTAAGAAGAGAAGGAGTTAGATCTACTGCAAGTCCATGGTTGATGATTTGGTGAAGTAAGTCGAGTAAGTGACCAAGCCAAAGATGAGTTCTCACCCGATTCAGTCGGTGTAGTCATTGGTCTACCCACTCCGGTCTGTTTAGTAATCCATTAACAGAAGAGCAGAAGGCACAAGTAAGTTGTGTTATACCATAGGAATAGATTACCCTAACCTATATGACCTTATAGGTCTCGGCACAGGTACGTTGGGGTTCTAACTATTCTTTTGTGTGGTACGCTTGATGCTTGCTTAACTTAGAATGAATATTGCTAGGCTAGATTGTTAGTAGATTGCTCGCTTTAATTTTTATTATTGCTTGCATTAGTTGAGTAGTATAGTGCTTGCATCATTTAGAATAATATTGCTTGCATTAGTTTCTTAAGCGCAACTAGGCATGTGGAATGATAAACCCATGCTTGTGTTGTTGCCTTAAGTATTTTTAGTATGTGTAGGTAAAAAAGTAGGGTTGGTTTCTAGTATTTTTAGGAGTCTTAAGAACCGTAAATAGTGAACCTAGAATTTTAGATAAACCCTAGAAGTTTAGGTGGAACCTTTTACCCGGTTGATCTTGTGGTGTTTTATGGGCGTGTTGGGGAAAAAGCAAGGGTTGGTGTGTCGAGTAAGTAAGTTGTTATGTGATAGGGAATCACATACGTAAGAATGAAACTTTAGTTGTGTCGTGTGAGATCCGATCCCTAGATCAGCAAGTTTGTCAAGGCGTCATGTGAGAAGGAAATCACATGTTTGAAGAGGAATAAGATAGTCACTATAGAGAAGAGAGAGCCGCTGCCAAACCTAGTACGGTAACAGCTCTAGTATGGTTAATATTGCCAATAGCCATGAAGGAAGGACCCTTCACCATGAAGATCAGATAGATGGAAACAGCCGATAGCCGTAAAGGGAATGAAGGAAAAGAGAGAGAGTGGAGTAGCTATTTTAGTCATGAGCAGACGCCAAGAAAGAGTATGAAGACCATTCAAGTAAGGACGAAGGGGATCAAGATAAGTTTTACAATGTCATGCCGACTAAATAAAAAAGCAATGGACTAATGGTGGTACCGAGTAGACATTCCGGAGATGCCGTTATTGATGAAGAAGATGTTGATTAAGCCAAACCGTGAGATTTAAGAAGATTTGTGTGGTAATGAAGTAAGGAAGAAGCATATACAAGAAGAAGACGTATAAATTGCAGTTTTGGAGAATGTGGAGCCCAAGACAAAGCCCTAGTTATCCGATGGAAAGGATAATTAGAGGAAGAGAGTAAGGCATTGAGTCAAGTAAGGAGATGGAAGCAGAAGAAACAATTGTTTAAGGAGCAAAGAGGATAAGTAGCGTAAAAATCCATGAGATGGAAATCATGAGGCCGATAATACTATAGCTGAAGAAGAAGATAGATCAAGCAAGACAAGGAAGGAGTTTGGAGTAGTGCCGAAGAAGTTTTGCAGGTGTAGAGTAAAAAGACAAACTTCACGCATGGTAAAGTTATGCCTAAGTAGAAGAGTCGAATTCATAAGTCGCAAGACGAAATGAACGACTAATAAGTCAATAAGGAAGAGAACTCAAAAGTTAAAGAAGGTTGAGAAAATGAAGTTTCAAAGGTAAGGTTACACACAATGGAACGTGATGTAAGCCTACACAATAATCAAAGAATCGGAGGAAGTAGCGCTCTCACAAAGGAAGGAGGTGGGAGACGATAACTCTATGTTCATAATGGCAAAGATGAAACGAAGTTGAAGATGAAACAAAGACGAAGACTCTAAGTTGAAAAGGAGAATGGTGTTAGCCTAAAGGAACGGTTACACCATATTCAAGCTGAGAAGTAAGACAAGTCAAAGGCGGGAGAGTGGTATGATAAGTCAAAGGGGAGGAGTTGTACAACAAGTCAAAGGGGAGGAGAGTTGTACAACAAGTCAACGAGGAAGGTAATAAACTAAGAGTGAGGTTAGTATCAAGACAAGTAAGATGAAGAAGAAGTAAACGGGAAAATGAGGAGGATGGACCAAGAGCTAAGAAAAGAAGATGAAGGAGTTGAAGAGTTCAAAGAAGTTGCAAGAAAATAATGGAGAAGTTAAAATGGAGCATAGTACCATGCTGCTCATAGACACCATAGTACCATATTCCAACACGGAAGGAGTAATAGCTGTGGAAGTCAAAAATATGAGTCGTAATGGAAGAGACCCAAAGGTGGAAGAACATGAAGATAGTATACTGCTTGAGCTACATATGCAAATGAAGAATTTCAAGAGTGAAATCAAGGACTACAAAGACTTATGGGAGTTGTATCAATTGTAGCCACAATAGAAGAAGTTGATGTCAAAAGGAAGTTGTTTAGTACTACCACAATACAAGAGAAGACGTTGACGTCAAGAAGAAGAAGTCTAGTACTACCAGAGTAAGAAGAAGAGAAAGGGCTAAGTTCATTTGATAAGAAAGGTAATTATCAAGTACTCGAGACGAAAGGAACCGCGAGAAGAAATGGGAAGGAGTAGGGCTAAATCAAGAGATGAAGACATGATGTAGAGACTGAACCACGAGCGGTATGCAGAAGAGATCAGAAAGTATGGAAGAAAAACAGAAGGGTTGAAGCAGGTGTACATATGATCTTGTCACCAGGAGATGATC